CCACCTCAGCCTGGGTAAGGTACAGAGTTTATTCAAATTGAGTTAATTCAGTAACTGATTTGTCAGAGAGGCTCTCCAATAACAGAGTGACTGATCCAGGGGTGAGATGAGGTGTGGCTGTTCAGGGGCAGAGGGGAGACTGAGTCACTGACATGTGCTCAGTGCTCAGTGGGATTAACATGGTAAATGGGGAGCAAACACAAGTGATTATTGGCATTCAAAAGCAGTTAATCTGGTCACTTGGAAAGTGCCAGTTTGCATCCTTGCCTTCTGAAGTGGTTCATTCTCCTGTCTGTAAAATGGTAATGACAGTCCTTGCTCAGCAGCCTTGCTATGCCATGCGTTAGCAGTCATGGCTAATGTCACTGTTTGAAGTGACTTGTCGCTGTTGCTTTCCTTGGAATTGCACTATTTCTGCTCAGCAAAGGTATAGCTAACCTAAAAGTAAAGAAGTGAAAACGGCAAGTGTGAGATTATGTGGTGCACAGGAAGAGGAGGCAGCTCATTCCAATAGAGCATGCAGTGGCTTGTTGAGGTGGAGCTGTGAATCTCAGCTGCAGGATACGATCTAGGATCTGCCTGGGTTTTGAAACTGGATGTAGCAATCAGACGACAGTCATGTTCTCCTGCTGTGGCTGGCAGTATTTTGAAAAACAGCTTTGACACAGACGTGCATAACTGATTACAATGGCCTTGTGAATATAGATACAAAACAACCAACCCCGACCCCAGAATGCAGCAGGTGGTGACTGATTTCTCCTTCGTGGAAACTCACATTTATTGCAGCGGAGGCTGAGGCCTGTGTTCCAGGCACAGCAGTCTTACAGACTCATAGAAATGTTAAGGTTGGAAGAAATCTGTAGGATTAAATAGGCAGTTTCCAGGTATGATCTGTGGTGTGTTCTGATCCTGAAGTATGGACGTGGGGGTAAGATGTGCAAACTGGAGCCTTCTGTTACAGAGCAATGGAAGCCTGCTGTGGTGCAGCAGCAGAGCTAATGGCCTCCTGAATCCACCCAGAGGTGTCTCGGCTTTGGACAGCAGCCGAGGCTGCCCTGTGCCGGTGGACAGGAGCGGAAGCGAGCGGCTGCGGGTCCCTGCGGTTAGATTGGGAGGGAGCGGGGCTGGAGGTGTCGCAGCCCCTCTGCTCTGTCAGCAGAGCCAAGGAGCGTCTGGCCACAGCTCCCGCTGAGCAGGGGCCCAGACC